GGGGGGGGGGGGTGTTTATACCTATTGACACTTACAAACTGATCATACTTTGGTTGGCTACACTGAATTGGATTGGCCTCTTATTAATCAATATAGACCAAAAGTTGCATTGTTTTGAGAAAGAATAGACTTTGACCCTTTGGAAGCTGGAGAGCCTCTGTGTGCTGACAAATACATACAAAAAAGTGTCTTCCTGTCTGGATTTTTCCATGAAGACAGCTAATTCCTTTAATGTAACTTTTTTTTTTTTTTGTCTTCATTATCTTTTTTATTAGTATTATTATTATGCTTTAGCCAGAAATAAGAATGGATAATTATACCAGGATACATAAAAGGATACATGGGTTTGAAGACGATTCAAGAGGATTCAAGACTGGGTGGTTGGGTTTCGTGGGTTTGGTTTGGCTTGGCTTTTTACATGAAGCTACGCTTCTTTAAGTAAGTTCTGAGATCGGTCAGTTTTTTTCTTCTTTGCCCATCTCTATAGCCAACGTTACTGGAATGTTTTTGTAAGCAATATGCAATTTTGACTTTCAGCACTTCAGGTAGTTACTCTGACTAACCATATTATAAAACTATGTGCAGGAAACTTAAAAATGAAATAATCCTGTAATTTGTTATTTATTAAATTGGTAGAGCCTTAACTTGTGGGGTTACCATGCTGAAAGTAAGAAAGGAGAGGCTGACTTGCATTTCTAGACAAAAAAAAAGGAGTATGTGATAGGGACAATTACATTACTACGATTTTATTTTCTATAAAGACTGCATATAATACATTAGTTCATCCACAAAAATGCTGTAGCTGACTGGGTGTGGGCTTGCTGCACCCTCTTAATTTCATATTCAAGGATACAGGCCACTTCAAATGCAGACACTGAAGACAGTCTTGCAAAGGTCAAGGTGAACCAAAGGGTGCAGGTGGGTTACATAGGGGCCAGGTAACTTTGTACCAAAGCATGTATTAACCACAATGGTGAAAGTTGATTCTGTTGGTAAAATGGAAATCACATAGGACCAAGGGTGGGAGGTAAAGACTGCTGTATTAAGTTACTGTTTTATTAGAAGGTAAAAGAGTGAAATGTTAAGACTGGAGAGATGCAAACTAAGGTAAGACTTTTCATTTAGGCATTAACAGGTTGTTAATGCTGATCTAGCAGGTCAGCGCTGTTCAAGTGTCCGTGTGTGTGTTTTCTAGTTCTGAAAAATCATGGCTATGGCCACCTAGTACATTACTTAGAACCAGGAAGGAGCAGTTGTGTATTTCTGCCTTGGAGCAGCTCAGCTCAAATGCAGCAGCCCTGTTCCTGTTATATCATTTTGAATTTTGATAGGTCACATCTAAGAGAACCAAAGAGAATAAAAACAACTTCTAATAGTAATGTTTGATAAAAGAAGCTCTTAACCGAATCAATATGTAACTGTTTTACTATATCAATATTTTTATTTGTATTACTGTTCTGCTTTTCTTCCTGCATATCCTACGTTCTCCCCATCTATGCTTCTGTCTCTGTGAACCTCCTGGAGTGGTTTAAGTCTACATGTTTACTTAAACTTTAAATGGATGCAGGGTAACAACCTTGAATCAATCTGAAAGTTTTAGCAATCCTTCAGGAAAACAGTTCTCTTTGTTTATGCCAGACTTGCCTGAGGTTATCTGGTGAAAGGGAATGTGTACTGGGATTAGAAGCTGTACTAGCTGGGACTGTTTTGTGATTCAGAACAAAAAATTATTTTTACTTATGTAAGTGGACAATGCATTCTACAAATAACTGCTTGTTTAACAGTCACTGTTAGCATATTAATTTTTTAATCAAACTTCATTCTTTAGCATTTTGAAAGATGGTAGTCTGTAGATTAATTATTTTAGATACTGACTCTTGGGTCACCTGACCTTCAGCACATGCTTCTAAACTAAACTGAAATTCCTGTGAATTTGAAATTCTTTGTATAAAATTACACATCACACATATCTAGTGTCTGGGATTTTTTTTTTAATGTGTTAACTCATAGCTAATTGCAACTAGAAAATGTTAGCTTTCCATTAATAACTGGGGGGGGGGGGGG